TGTGTTTAACTAACACCTGTAATTAAAGTTATTTTGGCAGGAGCATTTTGGCAGAGACACTGAATTGTAGGTGTGGAAGGCTCACTTTAAACTGAAATGTATAAAGACATTTTCAAATGCAATTTCTTTTTTGAACAATAGGAGTTATCCATGGAATCTGGGATTGATCCTGGCCAGGAATATGGACAAGATTATTACAGTTATGAGCATGGGTATATCTTCAGATTTTTCATTCAGAATTGTGTTGTAATATTTTTTAATTAATTGGGAATTACTGATTATGAATAATAGAATTTATTTTAAAAATGTGATTGACTTAGTTTTTTATCTGAAAATGTTTAGTGAAAATGATTAGTTTTTGATCTGAAAATGATTTTCATTTCAGTCAACTTCTAGCCATTTTGCTACAATTCTAAAAATATGATGAGAGTATTCATAATTATAAGTGGAAAATAGAAGTCAAACATATTTGCTCAATTCCTGAATTCACCATTTAAATCATATGTTGTGTTTAGCATTTTATCTAATTTACCTGGTTTTGCCTTAGAGCAGTTAAAAACAGAAAATTTAAATACAAGTATGTAAAGAGTTAATTCTGTACTCATCAGTTAAGTGCTTTGAAAAATACAGAAGTAGGTAAATACCATGCAGGCCATGTTCAATGTAAACTTTCTTATAGAACATAGATGTCACATCCTGGATGAGACACATGTGTATAAAGATCTTCCCTTGTGCCCTGGGTTCTTCAGTTAGTCATGAAGTGTCACAACTTTTTTTCCCCAATTCTAATCTTTCCCAAAACTTACATGTGAAATAACAGTTCTCTTCCCTGAAGGGCCAGGGAACCTTTGTGGGAACAGTCTGGCCATCAGGGAGTAAGATTTTGTGGGTAGTTTTGAAATTTTTAGGCTCCTAACCAATCTTCTTTAAATACCTATTGACTAAATGATGAAGAAAAAGAAGAAAGCAGAGATCATTATGTTAGATTCCACACACATGAAAAAAGTCTCAGGTTGCAAGTTTGTGTTGCAGGTACGAAATGCCACAATATGGAAGTCGCCGCCGACTGCTGCCCCCAGCTGGGCACGAGGAGTACTGTGAGGTGGTTGGTGAAGCTGAGGAGGAATATGAGGAGGAAGAGGTGAGTACCAGAACTGATGAAGCCGTTTGACGTAGCAGTACTGCAATGCTTTCAGTCCTTTTCGACTAACCAGCAGTAGAGCAGTCCACTTGCCAGTGCACCCACTCATTTACTATTGTCTCTCCAAGAAATGTACCACTGCTGGACATTCCACCCCCTTGTCTATGGAAGGAAATTCCTTCTTTAAAGTTTATTTCCTTCTATATAAAACTTTAAATGTCTGGAAAATGTTACAATAACATATGTTTTCTAATTCCCAAATATTGCTCTATAAAGAAATTATTATAACCA